TATTTTCTCATGATCAAAAATAATGTGCTTGAAAGTGGGAATATCTGGAATAAATACATGCTTTTTAACTTTTTAAAAACATTAAAATAAATTACCATGCACTTTAAATAGGAAATCATTCCTATTTCATAAGAATTTTACTATTTGATGTAAAATATGCAACAAAAGACAGTGGGTGAAAAGTTATATAGATAAAGGATGGAACTTGCTTGGGAATAAATTCAAGGATTAATTCATGCAATGGTTAAATATGGAAGGTTTAACCAAGTTCCTTAACATGAACATACTTGTGTTTGTGGAACACAAGAGATAGAGGACATAGCACATATTCTATATTGTTTGAATGCAAACTGTATAGTAAAAGAAATCAATGTCTTGGTTCACACATTAGACAAACAGGCAATTGGTGTACACTCATTAGAGCAGTGGATTTTACATATGAACAGAATCCAAATATGACATATTGTATGGCCTTTTACAGAACAAATGAGAACTGTATACGTAGATCTGACTGGAATACATTGGAGGAGTGATGCAGAAATACTATTTCTATTTTCTTTTAGTTTTGTCTTCTACTCTATTCTTTTTTACATGGTGTTATTTGTAGGTTTTTCTATTCTGACATAGCTTTGTGAATAATCAATAAAATATCATAATTATCATCATCTTCAAGCTGGAAAATGTAGAAAGGGAAAGAGAGGAAGTAGAACAATACTTTTTTTCTCCTACAAATAATAGGATTGGATACAGATAATCCTTTAAAATATGATTAGAAAGGGGGAGATCACTCCTACCTATATGGAGCTGTAATGTAACTGATGGAAAAGCACAAATGGAGGTATTCTACAGTTCATGACTATAATATAAATCAACAAGTCTTTGTATTTAAAGAAAATCACTGGCACAAATGAACATATTACTTGCCATGTCTACTATAGCAACTTGAGATTTTCTGCAAAACAAATGTGACACAGAGCAAAAACTTGCTAAATTTGCCAAAACTGGAATGTTCCTGCTCATCCTGGCTTTTCTATTCTAAGTACAACTGGAATTTTATACATTTCTAAATTATGCCTGTCAGCAAAACCTAGATTAATTTTTGAGTATATTGTGTATATTCACTGCATCAATTAAAATCAATTATTTGGCCTGTATTTTAAAATTCAATCTTGGCTGTTTTTTAACTACAGACTGTACCCATTACAGAAAGTATAAACATCTAAACATGATTTTGGACATTTTATTTATGAGTTTTGCTCCTCCACTCTGAATAAATTCCAAGCTCTACACCAAACACTGACAAAACAGCATGTTCTTTCTACATTCAACATATTGCATACTCTTGCAAAGAATGCAGAGTACAAAACCCTTTGAACCAGAAGCTTTATATAGAAGCTAACTATATAAATAGAGACTAACTTTGTATACCTTTGAATGACTGTTATTCTTACAATTTATGTAATAACCTGATATACAATATTAAATTTTCTGTATATGAACATTTTCTCCCTTTAACACATTCACTAATATGATCCGTTTCTACTTAGCAACTCTTCTGTGAAGTATAAGAAACATTTTAATTTTAGAAAAAGCAAATCTGCTAACTTTAAAAAAGTAAGCTCAAAACTCAATAAACTGTTTTGATTATAAAATGCGAACTGTAAAATCAAGGTTATAGGTCATTCCCATTTTTAGTATCAGACAATTTACATCTGAAGTTTTGGATTGAATAAGAAATTCTAGTTTAAAAAAATATGCACATGGCGCTTTTCCAAAAAGCTTGGATAGAACACCAGAAATATTTACAATAAAAAAAATCCAGAAGAACCTCACTGATAGATATTATCTCAGCTCTACAGGTTAATATTTTACATTTGCATAGAATTTTTCATTATAATAAAAATTAAATTTATTTACCACCCATCTCATTGTTCAAGGTGACTCTTAGCAGCTTACAATGAAATAAAATATGAAAATATAAAAACAATTATAAATATAAAACAGGTTAAAATTTAAAAAAAGAAAACAAAGTACAAACCCTGGATTTACAGTAGTGAGGTAGTGGTACCACCACACTGCACCAACCCACTTCTAGCCAACAGATTCTCCTTCGGGACTCCAAGCCAACTGAGAGAACGAAGATTCAAGGCTTTTCTGAAGGCTAAAGGAGAGGGAACAGATCTCACTTCCGTTTCTTCTCTGGCAGGATATTCCAAGAGGCGGAGGGCATGGCAGAAAGGCTCTTCCCCTTGATCCCACCAGTTGAAATTCCTTAGCTGATGGGATCCATAATAGGCCCCTTCTGACAGCATTAGTGGGGTGGGCCAATTGCAATGGGGAAATAAGATCCCGCAGACCCATGCCATAGAGAGCTTTAAAGATGACAACCAACATATGTGCAGCTCACATAACAATGATATGACATATGCCATCCTAGGAGCTTCCAAAATTATCTGCACTGGTGCATTCTGGACCAATTGTAGCTTCTGAATACTCTTCAAGAGTAACTCCATGTAGAGCATTTTGCAATAATCCAAACAAGAGATGATCAGTGAGGCAGGAAGGGCCTCACAATTTAGAAAAGGGTGCAGTTGGCGCACAACATGAAGTTGTGCAAAAGCTCTCTTAGCCATGACTGCTACCTGCTCTTTAAGCAGGAACCATGAGTCTAGAAGAACCCTCCAAGTTGCACACCGGGTCTGTCTGGGGTAATGTAACTTCATCAAGGACCAAAAATGATAAGCCTCTGGCTCTCAAGGCTCTGCATACCCACAGCCACTCCATCTTACCAGGATTCATCTGAAGCCTGCTGTCCCTCATCCAGGTCCCCATGGACTCCAGGTACCACAAAAGGTAGCAATAGCATCCCTTGGGACACAAGGGATGGAGATGTAAAGCTGAGTATCAGTAGCATATTGATGGTATGATCTCACCAGTTTTAACACCAGTAGCTGTTAAAAAGGGGCTGAGAGAACACCAAGCCCTACGATAGTCTATAAAGTAGCTGCAACAGGCTGGATTTCTTGCACCCTATCAACAGTGATTGAAAATAGCCGTAGAGAAAGCACAACCAGCACAACACTGCACTACCAACCCAAATCCCACAGCTAGTCCAAAAGGCTTGATGGTACTGAAAGCTGCCAAGAGGTCAAGGAGAGCGAGGATGGATGCACTACCCCATCCCTAGATGGGAAAGTGGGAAACTGGACAAGAATTGTTCAGTAAGGTGACCATGGCTTCCTTAAAGGGTGTTGGGAAAGCCCTCTTTTGCAGTGATGCATTAATCACCGCATGCACCCACCCAGAAGTCACTATCTTGGAAGCTTTCAATAACCAAAAGGGAAAAGGATCTAAGCAGCAAGTAGTTGTGCTAACAATCCTGAGGACCCTGTTCACTTCCTCAGGTCCAACAAGATCAAATCGCTCCCAGGTAACAGGCTCTGTTTCCCAGGCATATCTAATGGACTTACATCACGCTTTGACTCAATACAAGAGAGAATCTGGTGTTGCACAAACTCCTCTGCAGGGTCCTAAGGATGATCATCCGAGCCCCCCTTTCCATGGATGGACTAGATGACCTTAAACAAGGCTGTCAAGCACACTCTATGAATGCAATAATTGCGGAAATATATTGATATTTTGCTGCTCTTACGCCACAATGTAGGCCTTAATCGCAACTCATTCTTTGTTTTCCTCCAGCAGGCTTAGGAATTATTAGGCCATCTCAGCTAGCAGACCAATTTTCAGCGCACAATGAACTGGATCCAGGCATAAAAATAATTCATTAAAATCAAATAGATTTAATTGAGCAACAATTAACCTTCAGCCTCACTGATTTCAGACGGTCTAACCATCTTTAAACAATTTAAAAAAGAACATGCTTTTGGTCCATTTCTTCCGTTTGCTTTCTGCTTTGTGTGAAAAAGAGAACGTGAATAAGAAATTATATTCTGTTTTATAACAATTATAAATTATACTATTATATAATTGTTTATTATATATTGATAATATTCAATAATCAATTCTATAATACATGTGTAATTTAATTATATATTTTAAAAACTATAATCAACAATCTAATAATGGAGATCAAGCCTCTCCTTGAAAATTGAATCCGTCATAAAAGCTCAGTTTCTACTCTATAAAGCAACATTTAAAACTCTTTTCTTTTAACAATAGTGGCCAAATATTTGTGCTCATTTCAAATTATCACTGGACATATCGGAGTGGGCTTTGGAACAATACACAAGATGAAATTCAAACCAAACATTAGATAGGAACTCCTAAATATATGTTCATGAGTTTTATGTGTGCATTTGCAAAGTATGCCTGGGTAAACACTCCAGTAGAAGAACAAACTATAAAAAAACTCTGACTTTAAAAAGAATTCCAAAGGCTGAGGCTTTATTCATACGTCCTTGGGAGTTAAGTCCCATTATTTTCAGTATGGCATACTTCAGAGTACGGCTGCATGCGACCCTTGTTATTGAGAGCTCTTTTTCTATTTTAAAATCTTTATGCTTTGGAAACATTGAGTAATAAAGTACTAACACCTCACCACCTATTATATAAAATACAGGACAGGACAATATTTTACAGTATTATACTCTTTTTAAAGAACAAGCCAGTTTTTGAAATATATAAACCACAAACAAGTAGATAATACAATTCCATGTAATTTTTATGGAATATCGATAAATGCTTATTTAAATCCATTGTTAAATAGGGTTAATAGTCAGGGCATCATTTACAGATGAAAATTTCTCAGAACATGCCTGAGGAAAAAACAGCAAAGACCAATAATTTCAGCAAAACAACTTGCTTTCCAAATGCTAAAAATAGATAAAGAAAATATCTCACAAACTGTAAAATGTTGGTCAGCAATCATTTTATGCTAAGCAACATAGCTTCCCCACTACCTTGCTAAAAATAAAACTGTATGTATTGCAATACTTTTCACTTGCTTCAGCCAAGAACTCCAAAACCTCCCTGAAACTAACCTCAGTTGGATCACTCTCTTGTGTACTATGAGTCAGCACTTCTTAACATTTCTGGAAATTCCTCAGTGTAAACTCCTCCCATATAGCAGGAAACTGCAGATTCAACTCAGCATATACCAGGAAATACATACAGTTATGCACATTTCACTGGAGTCACATAAGCATTCAATTTAGTTTTTGGAAAGCTTACCAACCACACTGTTTTCAGCCATTCTCTTCCTGCAGAAATGCAATGCTACAAGTGAAGAAAGAAAAATAATAACAGGAATTCCCTCTGTTCATCACTAATTACTGCTTATAACAGTATCAGATTATATAACTATTAGAATTCTGACTGAGATATTCTTAAATCTAATGTATATGGTTAACAATTAAATATGATACCTGTCAATTCCTAAGAAACATACTTATTGGAAGCATTTTCTACATTATTTCATATTTAGAATAACCACATGGATAAAAAAGTTGAACAAGTAAAGTATAATTAAAGTAAGGTAAAATGGTCAAAAATAGGGCACTGTAAGTAAAGCCAAGGTAAAACTAATAAAACTGAAATATCTAAAAGAACAGAAGACTGTTCTTAAAATCTTAAAGAAAATTAAAATGTTTTCATCCAGCACTGACAAGGCATGACACAGAACCTAGGCAAGGTTCTCTGAGGAGCTTATTCTATAAAGAAGATACAAATGATTCTTCCTTTTGTAGCATTATGCCTCATCATATTTGAAGAGAATATTTGAAGAGAACGGTTGATGACCATGGTGCAACAGATGAATGTGAGAAAATGTAATCTGCCCCAAGCAATTTATTCTTCAGTTTACATCCTGACTTTATTTTGTACAACCCAAGGCAGTGTATATACCGTGTTTCCCCAAAAATAAGACCGAGTCTTATATTAATTTTTGGTCCAAATAGGGCTTATTTTCCGGTTAGGGCTTATATTTGGGGAAATACGGTACTAAATGCATCCATCTAGCTGATGAACTTAACTGGGGCTTATTTTGGGGGTTGGGCTTATATTACGAGTGTCCTGAAAAGTCATGCTAGGGCTTATTTTCTGGTCGGGTCTTATTTTCAGGGAAACATGGTAGTCTTCCGTTATCCCATTTTATCCATAACAGCAATCCTGTTAGGAGGACTGGTCTAAGAAAAAGTCGTTGACCTAAAGTCACCTAGCCAGGTTTCATGCTTAACAGAGAACTAGCACCAGAATACCTTAATCACTACACCAAATTGGCCCTAAATAAGCAATAACGGTTAACATTCTTTCAATAGGACCCATTGCAATCCTGCAGAATGATATGTTCCGTTCTTCCCACCATGTTTATTGAGACTCCAGCTGAATACTACTGGGAAATGGGCCAAATCAGAGAGCTCAATTGCTATATAATGATCAATTACCTTAGTAAAGAAGAGAAGCTCTGCAAGTAAGTATGACTCCTTTGTTGTAAAGGAGGCATTTGTCACCAGAGTGTGATCTGCTAACTGCAGAAAAGTGGAACAAGGATGAAAAGATTCAGGACAACAGAAAGGAACCTAGAGAAGTAGCAGCATTAGAAAGCAACACCAGTAACCAGACGAGAGACTGCAATGAAGTGGGAAGCAGGGATGATATTGTAGCACATTGTAGTCTTCTGTAAGGTAAGAAAAGAGGGACAGAGGAAAAATAGGCAGTCTTTTCCTCCACATTAAGAGCCTGCTGGAGCAAGAGACAGCAACTGCAAAGCAGCTAGACTGCAGGCCTCTGACAGTCTCAAAGATTGATGCTGGAGCAGGTGAGGACGCCAGGTACTAGTAGCAGAAGACAGCTGCAATAGAATAGCAGACATCTTCTACTAAGACTTTCTCAGAAAGTCTAGAAATACACAGAAGAAGTATCAATGATGGCTGGAGAGAAACAGGAACAAGAAATGTCAAAGTCAGGAGATGTTAGAATTCCAGTAGCAGCTTTGATGGAGACAACTGAAATAAGCCAAGAAGACCAAGGAGAGGCAGTTATAGCAGACTGCCTCCACTTGGCCAGCCGACAGTAGATCCTTGGTTTATCTAAGCTGATACGGCCACTTAAATAACCAAGACCACCTGTGTCCAATAAAAACAACAATACTTAGTCAAAGCATCTATCCAATTTATAAAACTGATATTTTGAGGGGAGTACAAACTCCTACAAAGATACAATCTCCCTACAAATAGTTTCCTATGTCTGTACTGTTTCTTGGTTTATTGGCTATTATTTCACAACACCGAACAGTGCAGTACTATTAACACAGGTAACCTGCACAATGCTCTGGAAAATTTTCCATAGGGTGTTCCTATGGAATTAACACAACATATGAACATTCTCAAATAGCAACAGGCACAGAAAACAGAATTATCCTACAATATAGTATGATGAAATCAAAAAGCAACAACAAAGTCTATATGATGCTCAGTGCTTTCTGGTCATTTTGAATAAAAATGGTCTCTTTACCATTTTTCATAATATAAATATACTGTAAATCAATGTGTATTACAAAACTAAAACTTAATTGCCATAAATGAATAGATACTTAAATATATTGTTTCCAAAATTTAAACTCTCTTCAGAATTTCAACATTCAGTTTATGCTAACAACATTTTCAGTCCAAGTTCTTAAATAGAATACCTTCTGCATCACGGTTAAACATGGATTGTATGCTTAATGCATTTTAAGTTAACAATATTGGTGTCATTTACCCTTAGCTTGAGATCCTTATTTATTACACATAGCAACATGATCACATAATGAGAAAGAAGGTAGTAGTATCTGCAATTTGGAAGAAAACAGAGCTGATCTCATCAACATGCCTCTTCAGATCAAAACAAGAGAAAACAAACAATGGAATATATAATCTCCCAAGCAGGATATGTAAAATCACTTGCTCTTGCACTCTATATGCCATAAACAGATTCATAGCCCTCACCTGCCCAATAAACTTTATAGCAGCTCTATGAGAAATGGCAAGTCTCTTAAAAAGAGTTCTCTGTAGTGAACATTCAATATTGGTTCTATAATAAGCAGCAGTGCTGACAGTTAATATAGTCTTAAGTATACATGCTGTTTCATTGGATGCACCATAGATGGTATTTATTATTCTATTTCTCACCTTTCTGCTCTGCAATTTTGCAAATAAATGGAGCTATAATACCTATGAGTACCTACCATTTCACATATTATTTAACAGAAATAAATGTTATGTTTGTGTATATGTGCATTTATAGGCAAACAGAGTCACTCATGCTGGTTGTTTAATATTATATTCAACTTCTGCACTAGGTAGCATTTTTTCCCCAGTTGTAATCTAAAAAGAAAAGCTCTGTAGCGAACCTGTTTTTCTGAACTTTTTTTTTATTCTCTCTAAAGATCAATGAGATTAAAAGGTGGCAGACAGCCAAATACTCTAAACATTATAATCATTAATAGATGCATTTAACATGTATGCAGCTTTAAGATGCAAGACATCTGGTTCCAATTTCAATTCTGGCTTACAATAAAAGTGACTCCTCCACAATACTTGTATTATAAGCTGTTCTCTGCCTCCCCCTCTTCCAATATTTTCCTCCTTTGTGGAAGAGGTTGTTCCTTCCTTCTTGCTGGAAGCCACCTGACCACTGCCAGGAAGAGGAATGCAAAACATTCCCAGGAGCAGTTCCTGACGTCAGCAGAGCTTTTCCCCTCCCAATGTTCAGAACTGTCTGGAAATTCCAGTCTCCAGAAGAACTAATTGAATGCGATAGCAGCTGTAGCCTGTACTGAATCACATTAATCTGCTTCATGCAAGCTGCCCAAACAACCATAAGCCTGATGGTTTTTTATGGGAAGAACATACACCATAACTACAACTATTATTTTTGCAAGTATTATTGTATTTAATTTTATAATTAACTTGAGCAACTGCTCTAACGAAATTAAATGTGTACATGAAAGAGCTCTCTACATTTCATTTCTATTCCTTCTTTATACGAGTAAGAGGAACGGCAAGGAAGAAAAATAGAAAAATATTTATAAATAAAACAGCCAGACTTCCTCAAGCAGCTTTATGTAATCCACAGTTCTACATACCTCAAACTTCAGGATATAAATTTCTCCTCTCCTTCCACAAAAAAAAAAATTTAGTTACTGTGTGTATATTCTCTTATGATTTTTTCCCAGACTATAACTACCAGTTTTGGGTACAGAAATATGGATGACCAAAGGATAGTTAGAATTTAGTGGTCATCAGTGTGGTCTAAATCACAAGTACCAATGCTCACAACTACTGATCTTCAAACAATTCTATATTAATATATTCCCAGAAAGTATCTTAAATTAAAATTGTTGGTTTTGGGATTGATCATATACAGCAGGGGTGTCAAACCCGCAACGTCACGTGACATGTTGTGACGTATCATGACTTTTTTTTCATTGCCGGCAATGGGGTGGGTGCAGTTTCGCCATGACGCATCCGGCCCGTGGGCCGCAGTTTGACACCCCTGATATACAATATCAAGGCTTAATAGGATGCCTACTTTCATTTGTAAATGTTGACCGTGGAACAAAGATAAATAAGACAAAATGTGAGTACTAAAGTATTTTCACAAGTAATTCTATGTTTCCTACAAAGGAATTTATTACAGGCAGTCTTCAGTCTACACACATTTGTTCTTTTCAAAGTTATGGCACTGCTGAAAACATGGATGTACAACAAGCCCCCAAAATGCCAGCTATCACAGTATCCCACTGGACACGTGATCACAATCTGGATGCTTGAGGGGCCAGCTGGTGATTGTGATTACTTCCTCCAAAGTAAATGGGGAAGCTTGCAGGGAAGATTGCTAGTCATTCCTGTAAATCGCTCCTGCCTGTAGCATCTCCCCACGCCTATGTGCAGCCTTTATGGCCTCCAGGGTCTTCTGAAATTTGCACAGTCTGTGCTGGGTTTGCCAAGCCCTCCCTTTACTCATGCATGCAGCTCACCCTGGCCTTCCTAGGACTCCCCTCACATGTACCC